CTAAGCATCTCACCAAAATAAACGGCCTATGTTAATTGGGCTAAAAAAATACTTTCTAGATTGTGTTTTCATTTTTTTTTTTGTAATAGTTCATTAGAATAAAAAAAGTGTAGATTTCAAAATTTGAATCAAACAAATGGCCATAAGATGGTTTTTTAAAGTTATTCTATCATATTACTATACAACGATTGCAAGAAATCATTGTTGTTTGTTAACCCTCTCGTATTAGGGTTGTTGGAAGTCTCTCTCATGCAACGGTTGTATCATAGTATAATGTAACCATACGTCTAAAAAACCATTGCATTATATTATGATGCAACCATTGTATAAAATCATAGCCTTTTATGAAAAGAGCGTATGCTGGTGATTGAATGCAATAATACAGAGCAAGTTTATAGGAACTTGGGTCGAATAGTTGAAGCAGATCCTAGTAAGAAAAGATGGATTATGGGATTGTGTCACTTGAATTGTTGATCGGCCATCTTTTCTTGTAATCAGTACAGTCATATATGTTTTTTCACTAATTGAATCTTTCATTAATTGCTGAAATAAAACGAACTTCATTTAAGTCCAAGATCCCATGAACCCGATATTCATTTTAAATATAAATTTTCAAATTAACGAGTCTTTGGATTTAGGATTTTAAGATTGCGTAAAATAGTGAAAATCTATTTCTCTTTGATATTCGTTTTTTTTTGTTGAAATGTAACTCGTGACTTCTTCATTCATCGAGTAATGGATCAGAGATGGGATGAACCTCCATGGGATCTGCTTATTTTTTTACGGAGAACCTCCATGGGATCTGCTGATTGTCCTTAGCTCATATAACTACATTTGTGGAATCTCCTTCTCTTTTGCGTTCCTCTGTTTATGAAGAAACATGAAGTCTTTCATGTTTTTTTTATTTTTTTCTTTTTGTTTTCTTTTGTTTTTTTAGAAATATTACATAAATCTCACTACCTGAAATATCCTACACATAGGATATTAACTTGGGGTCGATGCAAAGGAAAACAACAAGGGAGTATTTGGTGAGAAGAAATTTTAGTAGGGGGTCCAGGATGTTTTAGGTAGCAGGCTTATGTAATTTGTAATTTTTTTTGTTTTTTACAAAACAAAAAGTTGGGCTTTTGAACGAGGAGTCGAAGGAGCACTAAGAAAGCCACAAAAATTTTTGAAGCTCAAAGTAAAATCTCCCAAAATATAGACTATCTTTTAATTCTAAAATTTGTTTTTGGTCCCTCAATACATTTTTTCTTTATTTTATTTGTTATTTGTCCTTGCAAAGAAGGCAATCTGATGCCTTGGTTTCCATTATTCATTAAAACGCTATCCACTTTAGAATTTAATGAGAGTGCGTATACCATGTTCTCATAGGAGCATACGGTAGATTTATCCCTCCGGATGATTATATTCAAAAAAAGAAAATCTGAAGTTTGACAGACGATCTTGTCAAGGAGAACGACTACGTCGAATTTCGGCTGAAGCCACTGTAAGATCTGTGAGAAATCGAAGCTAGAAATTGGATGAAAAATGAGTTGTGTTGCAGAATTTGGACCCAATATTTTTGGTGACTGTTTATTCTTACAGTAGCATATGCAACATCACCAAATCGTCAGTAAACATGGGCAAATGATGTTTCAATGACACAATTTTTAGGTTGAAAGTTTTTCAGCTATTTGCTACCTTCTGTGTGAGTCTTGGGTCCATCGCACTCCAATTTTCGGGGGCTTCTTTATAATTTCCTCTTTCAAATCCATGAAGATGACAAAAGATCTTGAAGGTATGGAATTGGAGTAGGCAATTGCTGAATTTATTTATTCACCTCGACTCGAGTTTGGGTGCTCTTCCGCTACAATGGAGTTCACCAGGTCTCCGTAAGCTCGGTACTTTATTTTGGAGATCTTTGTGGGCAAGCATTGTATGGAATGTTTGGAAGGAGAGGAATAGAAAGATTTTCAAAGGTACTTCATTTTGCAGTTACTATCTTAAAATCCAATATATTGACAATGGCAGTTGAGGGGCTGAAGATTCATAGATATAGATATGGAAGATTGATAACATTTGATCAAGTAATATGGAGGCAGATTCACTCGATAAAGGGGGTGCCCACCAACAATGGTTGATGATCGCTGACCTTAGCTAAAAAACCTCTTTTTTGGTATAACCTTGTTGTACTATTTATTCATATATAAAATCTCATAAATAATAATAGTAATAATAAACAAAAAGACAAACGAAGACAAAAATACCCCTTTTATCTGTATTAAAATTTTATTCTTTCCGGTTCAGGTACATGGGTTCTTTTAAAATTCAAAGATGGAGCCTTAAACCCATACTGATCGTTTCATCTTAAAAGGCAACAAACTTAAAAACCTCCATCGTTTCATCTTAAAAGGATTCCTTTTGCCAATAACCTAAAACCTCCAGCCCACATCCAACCGGTTGATGTTAATTTTCTGTGGCTCTAAATGCACGACTTTAGGAAATTTTAAATGGGTGAACAAGAACACACCTTGTGAACTAGAAAAAACTGAATTTTTTCCATAAATAGTTGTCCTCTATCTCAGCTAAATTAAATTAGATACCAGGTTGGAGAAGAGGTTCCCTTGGCTATAAGAAAAGGATGGAGTCAACCCTAGGTTTGTGGTTCCACTTGCTGAGAGTTTTGGTGGAACAATCACCATGGCCCTTGAAGGATTTCTTCAAGCTAACCATCATGGCCTCGCCTTCAAATTACAAGGATTTCTTCAAGCTAAAGATCATGGCCTCGCCTTCAAAGTACTTCTTCTTCTGTGCTTCACCTTGGGGTTCATCTTTGTTAATGGTGAAGAGATGAAGGTAAGTTTAAATATCTGTTCTTCTAGAGGTCCCGAGTTTAAATATCTGTTCTTCTAGAGGTCCCGAGTTAATATTTAAAAATAAAAATAAAAAAATTACATAGCGGAAAAGAAGCAGCTCAGCAATGGTAGGTATTTCTTTGATATTGCCAAGACGAAATACAAAATTGGGTACGTCTATACCATTGTTCCAAAACTCTGCTGAGTTTTTTCAATTGTCCTTGTATAATGGAAAGAGATTATTTGAAATTACTCAAGATTTCTCAAAAATTACTAAACCAATTACGCTATAAATTTCGAAACCCATTATGCTGTAAAAAATCTATTACGCGTTTTACGGTAATCTTTGAAAGCAGAGTTTTTTTAGACTGTTTGGGTATAATGAAAAGATATTGTTCGAGATTTCTCAAAAATTACTAAATCGATTCGATTACACTGTGAAATATCTATTAGGTGCTTCACGATAATTTTTGGGAAATCTTTAACGCATCTCTATGTTACCTATCCCTGCTTAAAAAAAATCCATGGTGGATAAGCCTTACTTTTTAGTCTCCCTTCTAGTTTTCTAATCAAACTTCTTCCGATTTTTTAACTTGTACCATAAGGATTTTATAAAGACATTTGAAAGACTTCTATAAAACATAAATAAAAATAAGGTTTATCACAATAAAAATATGTTATTCCAATCATATTATTCCAATGATTTAACATGTTGAAACCAAAATCTAATCTTGTTAGAAAACATGTAATTCCATGCAAATGTCAAAGGCATGCAACATAAATAGGAAATGGCGTTTTGATGACTTTAGAAATAAATAGGAAATGTTGTGATGATGCATACAAGTATTTATTAAAAATTCTTTTTGGAACGGTGATGATGTTATTATTAGAAAATCTTTTTGAAATGGTACGACCATAACTTCAATTTCGCATTTCAATGGAATTTTGTGACAAAAAAAAAAAAATGATAATTTATAAGCAAGTGCGGTAAAATATTGATAATGCATTTCCCATATGCCTTCTAGACATAGCAAGCAATTACTTCCCAAACAAAATAATAGCAATTATTTATCAAGTTGTATCTAAATACTACCCAAACAAAACAATAGTAATTATTTTCTAAACAAAATAATAGCAATTATTTTTCAAGTTGTATCTAAATACTACTCAAATAGTAACAATCCATTTGCAAATAATGTATTAGGCCTGACAGAAAATATATTTTCATGTATCCAAACCGCCCTAAGGATCCGGATCAGTTTGATAACACACTAATATGATGATATTTCTGGATATTATAAAATATCGGATGTAATCCTAAGATAGTGGAACATGTTTGATAAGATCAAATCATAATATAATATATCTTAATAACTGCTTAATATCTCAATCCCCAAGAAATACAGCTCCGACTTGAAAGTCTCGTGATACTAAAAATTGTATCACGCGGCATTCTATTTTCGGTCACTTGACGGGATGAAATTTGCTCTCTCTCTCTCCCTCTGTCGTCAGCAAATCCATTTCCGGGGGGAAGTGGATGACTTTTCCGGCTAGTTGGGTAGTTTTCCAACAAGTAGCCTGAAACTTCACGCAGTGAGGGTCCATTTTCCAGCAAGTTTTGGTCAGTTTTCAGGCAATTTAGATACACTCTCCCACAAGGTGGGTCGCTTTTCTAGCAAATTGGACGCATTTTCCGATTGCCAGAAAATGGTAGGAGGGAGAAAGAGTTTTAAAGAGACAAAAGAGGAAGATAGCGAGAGAAAGAGTTTTAGAGAGGGATCAAGTTTGGTGGCAGAGATAGAGAAAGAGATCAAAATTGCAGATGAAAATCGCGAAATTGCAAAATCTCTTCAGCATAGAGCTCTGCTCGTCTCTTGGCTCAGAGACGTAGCTCTAATGGGATTTTTTTTATGCTGCTATTAATGATCGAAAGTAACAGGAACCCGTAATTTCACCATTAAAGAATATTCACCCTGATTCCAGCACTTTCTTTACTCACACAATAAGTATCCATGTCTGCAACCTTTTTCGTTGGGCTTAACACGAGAAGCAAGCAACACAAAGGATGATCTAGTTGTTAAAAGACCCTGTTGGAACAAATTTTTTTTGGGTTTTCCAAATTGGGTTTAGAGTGGGGTTTGTTTACTTTATGAATAGAATACTTCTCCATTATGTTTTAGGAATTTGAGGTGTACTTTGGGCCAAATTCTAGCCGGCTTGCTCCAGTAGTCAAATATTTCATATTGTAGAAAATTATAAAATGCAGGTAGGTTAAAACGTTATATATCAAGTCATATATAAAAAGTCGTCAATGCATTATCCAAATTTTTAAAAATATGAATGTTGAGATTCTGTTTTGTCAAACAGAGCTTAAAAATTTGTACATAGGCGGACTAAGATAAAATCATCTATAGAAAAGAGGGATTGTCTACAAAGAGATCAATTATCTTTTGTATATAGAAGACAATCATATTTGTCCCTTAAATTTCAAATGGGCGGTTATAAGAGGGTCAATCATATTTGTCCCTTAAATTTCAAATGGGCGGTTATAAGAGGGTCATTGAATAAACTCAAAGTTTCAAAAATAAAATTTTAATGAAAATGATTATGACCTCCATATACAATAGATTAATGGTCTGGTCTCTTTGTAAACAATGCTTTCTACATCCATTAATTTCCTTTTTCTATCTATGCCTGTTGGGATCTTTCACATCTCATGCACGATGTCTTTGATGTACTTCATTTATCGAGGCACGCACGCATATACTGTGCTCTCGCAGGACCATATTGTTCATCTACTCACTCACTCAAAAAACCTACTTAGGAAGATTTGTTTGGCCTAAAATTTCGCAAAGAATATAAGAAAAAAACTTGAATTTTCAATTTTGTAAGACTTAGATCTAGCCCTTGAAAGAATGGGCAGTCTCTATTGAATCTTAAGGCACTAGTTTTTTTCCAGTACATAGATTTTTATCTACTTAATTTTTCTGAGATTAGTCTATGGGTGGTAAAGATTGTATATATTTTGCCTGAGGTAGTAAATAGATAGTATACACCCGTAGGAGTAGGAAATCCTGTGGCTATATTGAGATCGTACACTTTAAGACCATTTTTTGTGGCACTATAAGGTTTCAACTACTTGCTTGTTGGCTGGTGGTGTGCGACAAAGTATGAGAAGAAAAGGGAAATGGTTGCAGCCTCGAAAACGTTTGTATAAGGCTGCAACCTTAAATTGTAGAATTTAGGAGAACTCAAAAAATCCATCGAAAAAGATTGTTTTAATGTTGGAAAACATTCTAATTGATCATCTCCACATCCAGATACCTAGAAGTGAATAGAAAAGAAAAGAAAAGATTAAGAGCCCCCAAAATAGTGTATCTTGCAACACATTATCTAGAGTGTCCATTTTCAATATTTTCATGTATTTATTTATAGATCTACTTGATTTGAACACTTTTTGAAGTTTAAAATTTTATAACAAGAGATATAAATAGATTCTAAGACATCCTAAGAAACTTTGATACCAAAATCAAATCACCCCTGATGATAAAATTTGGAGATGCGTCATTATTTAAGGTTGCAAACTTATGTAAACCACACCCAAAAAGAATTAAAATTAGATGACATAGTTGAGAATACCATAATTGTTGTCTGGCAATTGTTACAGCATTACATCATCTACATGGGAGATGTGCCTCAACTTGATGATTCCACAAGCATACTGGACATACACCATGATACTTTGGCATCTATTAAGGGAAGGTAAAGAAAGAATTCCCCTACATTTGCATACTCAGACCAATGATTCAAAATTGCACAGGGGTGACAGCGGGTCAGGTTGGGTTTGGACCCGGATTCATCGGACCCAGACTTGATAAGACCTGACATAAAAATTAAAATAGCTATGTATTTTACTATATTTAAATCTACTTCAAATTTTAGGACCCAAGAAACATTATCGGACGCAGACCCAAATAGTGTTCAAGTCCAAAAATTGGACTCGACAGATCAAAATTGGATCCGGCCTGACCTGACGGGTACAATTTTTTGACCGGGATTGGGTCTACCGCTAGGATCCCAGGTTGGATCCGGGTCCATTGCCACCTCTAATATTGCCAAAGTCCAATTAAGATGGGAGGATGGCCATTTTAGGCTGAAAACCCCAAAATCATTTGGGTATCCCAATTTTCTATTTTTTAAATATTTTTTGTTTAAATATAATTTGGTGGGGTTTGGAAATTGCCCAACTCAAGCTCCAGGGATTAGAATTGGACCCTACTGGGTCCGAGGCCTATTCTGATTTTCGAATCACTAATTTAGCTTATGTGTTCAAGTAAAATTCTCTCCCACAAATTTGTGGATTTATTATTCCTATTTTTACAATGTGGAGCAGCCATGAAGAAGCCAAGGCATCCATTAGATATAGATACACAAAGAGTTTCAATGGCTTTTCTGCAATGCTTACAGAAGAAGAGGCCAACAGACTCGCAGGTGAGTGCTAAGTGCATAGAAGTTTATCTCATATCATCTATTTCTTTTTTCTTTTAAAAGTTTAAAATACTAGCATTTCCTTATTTTATTAGAATTTTGAAACCCATACCTCTATGGACATGATAAAGAAAAGGGAAAGTATATGATAAGACCGTTTATTTACGCAAGGAGGTCACAACCACTTATGCGATGTAAAATCGTGGTTGAGGGTATGTTATTGACCAAGCTCGAAGTCCACTAAAAAGTTTATCGAGCTTTGTGACACATCCCCAAGCCATTGGATTCCATATTCGATGGTTACGAATGAATGTGACCTTCTTGTATCATAAGCCAATGGTCCTACAGTAACATCATTATAATCATCTAAGCTTTATACCAATTATTTGAGATCAGCTACAGGAATCTTCTTCCTCTAATTTTATGCCATACTCTTGGTAAGACCAAAAGTTTTCACATCTTTTTTACTTACCTCTATATATGTCCTTTTGAGCCTTCCTCTTGCCTTTTTAAAGAGGCCTAACGTATAAGTGATTATATTGTGTTTGATGGCAGCAACAAAAGGAGTTGTTTCAATATTCATAAATAGACGGCATAAGCTTCTGATAACTAGATCTTGGGATTTCGTGGGCCTTAATAAGAGTGCTCCAAGGGTTCATGCGGCCGAAAGTGACATCATCATTGGTGTGATAGATTCAGGTAAATAGACCACGGCTGAGCGTGACCACATAATCATTGCTTAAAACAATCTTGTGTGTTGCAGAATAGACTGTTTATCTGTGATTCTAGATTGACTTGAATTAGTGTCTCTCAGGAATCGACCCCAGTGTTGAAAGTTTGAATGGAGATAATTTTGGCCCTCCCCCAGCAAAGTGGAAAGGTTCTTGTTTTGCCAACTTCACCTGCAACAAGTAATTCTAACATCTTAAAATCTCTCGGTTAGTTGTATTTTTAAATTTTAAACTCCAAAAATGGTTCAAATCAAGCAAAACTATAAACGTATGAAAATTTTGAAAAATAGATGGTCCATATAATATATTGGAGGATATATTATTTTTACGACTTGAGATCTCTTTTTTCTCTATATCCATATATATATATATATATATATATATATATATATATATATATATATATGTAGTGTAGTAGTATACTATAAGTTAAGTTAAGTTAAACGTAAACTAAAACTTAACTTTTACTTTTTTACTTTTTTACGTTTTAGTTAGTTAGTA